ACCACGCTCCTCTCCTCTCGCGCTCAGCTGGTGTCTTCTCCAGAAAAGAGAGAGGGGGGAAAAGCGACCTTGTCTGAGCGCCTTCTTCGCTCTCATTGGAATGACCTCGCCAAGAGTTGGCTGGAGGGAGGAGACGCCGAAGGGGGAAGCCCAGCCCTAGCAAGAATTATGCATGAGCCTGGACGCGGCAAGTTCACAGCAGCCGCGACACAAGCGCTCACGCCCAGCGCTTTGAACCAACCCCAGCGACGACGACGCTGGTGTAATTCCTTATAATCTATGGGGTGCAAAACTGCAGGTCTCTTTGGTGCATTGTGTGAGGCAAGAGCAGTGGTGGAGTCAGGTAATTTTTGACACAGCCCCCCCAACCCAACCCAGACTTATCTTACTGGGGTTCCTCCTCTATAGATGGTAATGTGGTGGGTTCCCCCCACCCCCGCTTATGTTCAAATGCGGCAAGCAAGCCCTGCTGGTTTTGCCCACCCACACTGAGTGGGACCCCAGGCTTCTGCCCCAAAGTCCTGCCCTGACAGTGTGAGTCAGATAATGCAATACCTTCCCCATACCTCCATCCCAGAAAGGACTGGTCTTTTTAAATATATGAAATATTGGGAAAAGTTGGAGTTATGTAACATCTCTTCTTCTGGTTTCAGCATCCACAGTTATCAATAAATACACATCAATAATGACATATATAGACTGCTTCTCCCATTCTGATTCTAAAGCTATTAAAAATAAAACAATTGAAATATTTAAGTGGGATTACTTCCAGGTGGAATGATTTACATAGCATATAGCAGGGTGAGGGTAACCCTTGGCTCAGTGGTAGGGCATTGGTCTCATGTGTGATGGTCTTAGGTTCAATCCTTGGCCTCTCTAGGTAGAGTTGGCCAGTGCAGCCCCCCTTCATCTGGCAGGAGGATCAGGGCCACGAATATGGCGAGGCCTTCTGCTAGGCCATGTGGCAGCCTTCAAGTTCTCCTGTGGCTGGCGCTGTCCCCATCATCTGGCAGAAGGATCGGAGCCGCAAGTATGGCGAGGCCTTCTGCTAGGCCGTGCAGTGGCCTTCCAGGCCTCCTGTAGCCAGCGTGACCCCCCTCGTCTCACAGTGGCCAATCACATACCTATAGGAAACCTGCAGGTAGGAATGGAGCACGGGTACACTCTCCCCCCCCCACTTGGTTTCCAGCAACTGGTATTCAGAAGCATTGCTGCCTCAAACCGGAGGCAGAGCATAGTCATCATAGCTAGTAGCCTTTGATATCCCTGATCATAGCTGCAAGTGGTGTCATTGGCTAAGTCTCCATGCCCAAGTTCTCCCCAGGAAGTCAGCACCTTATGAAAGAGGAATCAACTTTTCTGCAATGTGCCTCACAGATTGTGAGGAATATTGCTGCCTCCTATATTTGAAGACGTGCCAGTAAGTAAAATGACTTGTAAGTATTCCAGCTTGCTGATTGAACGGGTACATTTGTCCTTCATCGTTCCACTGTTGTTCTATAAAGGTTATGTACTGAAAACACATGACGAACACTGAAGGAACAAAGAAGGGCTGGCAAGAGCCAGTGAGAGTCAAATCAAAGCACAATATGCATAGGTGTATATATGGTTCTGATGCAGATATGCATATCATAATATTTCAGATACCCATCACCTCTCTGCAAATCATATTGTGTCTGGACTGCAACATCAGGCTGCAGGCAGGTGCTCACATGAATTCATCCTCCTCCATTCAAAAGAATTCTACCTACATGGAAAACTAAGAGCAGAGTTATTGTCACAAAGGTATCTCCATGACATGATAGCTTCCTATGTGCAAAGAGGCTTGCTTGATTCCTTTCTTTTGAGAGAAGTTCGTTTTGATTATTGCTTATTGTTTAATGCCGGGATAGAAAGCCTTTTCTCAGCCTGAGGGCCACATTTCCTTCTTGGGAACTTTCCAAGAGCTGCATGTCAGCGGTAGGGCTGGTCGAGATATCCTCCAAAACTGGTTTGAAGTTCTTATTGTGATATCAGTTTCATAATTTTTGACCTGGCAATATATCACAAATCATGATGTGTGTGTGCGCGCTATGGAAAAATCACAATACAGGGGAAAACCATGAAGCCAGCCAATGCCTCTACATAGCTCCATCCTTATTTCAGACATCGTGGCATATCTGTATATCGCGATGTTCAGTTGGTGATATATCATGATGTTAAAAACCAGATATTGCCCAGCTCTAGTCAGTAGTGGGTGGGGTCAGAGGCTATAGTGGGTGGAGCAATGTGATTTATTTATTTTTTACCTTTGTACAGAATGCTAGTTTCTATCAACACTCACACATCCCTCTCTCGACTCTATTCAGGCAAACCAGAGGCTTTATTGCGAAGATTGTTAATTTAGCCTGTGGAAGTTCTCTCAATGATCTGACTCTTTGTGTAGAAATAAATCCTCAGCACACACACACAAAAAGTTTTAAAGCTTTACTTGCAGAAACCTAGTTTCAAACACTACAAAAACAATGAAAGATACATTGCCTCAGTAATACATTTCTATTCTTATGCTTTCTGGTCCTAGTGTAAGGCTCAAGATGAACATATTTGCCCCAAACCAGCTTTTTCAGCTAAAAAAAACCCAAAACTTTATCTCCCTCCTTCCAGCTTGCTCCATTTTGGTCCACACCCAGGGAGATTCTGTGTCTGCTTGCAAAAACAACTCATGACTCTGAATGGTGGGGGCTACTTCATTAACATAAGTAAATACTTTGAAACTCTATCCAAAAACCTGTGACTCAGTCATAAACCTTAGCTCACCCCACCTTTGTGATGGAAAAACACAAGGCTTCAGCTGTGTGCCCAAACATTCTTTGCAGTAACTTGAATACAGTTCCGTTACAATTATACACCATTTTTATGTAACATTTAGATAAGTTCAACATGTCAGAAGTCAATAACACATTCCAGGCAGGCAAAATCAATCAGGAAGTAAAGCAGCACCAATGAGGGGGTTGTCCTGGGTTCAAGGACCAGAGAGAGAACCACATTCAGCCTCCAGGCATGAGCTCCCCCCCCCCCTGGCATAGTGGCAATACTTGTTAATTGCTTATCCGAAAGTGACAACAGCAACGCAGGCCAGAAGCTGTATGATCACAGATAGCTCCAAGTGAGCAATTTGCTCAGACAGAGGCTGAGAGCAAACCAGGGCCTTTTGAGCTTCTGCCCCTTCTTCTTAGCGCCATCCACTCACAGAGATTTCAGATTCTTAAAGGTCCAGCCCTCTGGCCTGAAGGCAGGCCTTATTCTCCATTCCATAGGCTCTTGCTTAGTGCATGCCCTGCTTTGCTGGAGTGGTGAGTTACTGGGGAGGCATGTGGTTCCTCACACTCAGGAGGAAGTGCCTGTGAGGGCCCTGACTCTGGCCCTGGCACTTGGGGAGGTTCTTCTGGGGGTTCCTGTCTTCCAGCCTCAGACATGATGGTCTTCCGAGCTTCAGAAGAAGAAGAGTTTGGATTTGATATCCTGCTTTATCACTACCCTAAGGAGTCTCAAAGCGGCTAACATTCTCCTTTCCCTTCCTCCCCCACAACAAACACTCTGTGAGGTGAGTGGGGCTGAGAGATTTCACAGAAGTGTGACTAGCCCAAGGTCACCCAGCAGCTGCATGTGGAGGAGTGGAGACGTGAACCCGGTTCACCAGATTACGAGACTACCGCTCTTAACCACTACACCATACTGGCTCATATTCAGCACATCCCTGACCTTCTGCTCTAAGAGCTCCGAACTTGCTGTGTCATCTGTGTCTGGATTGATGATACTGGATTCAGGGGTCATAACACTTTGGTCCGTTAGTGCTATTTATACATACTTTAGATGTGTATGTTTAACCCAAAGGTACAGCAATGCTTAGTTTGACCAGACCACTCAGTCCTGCTAGCTAGGGATGATGGGAGTTGTAGTCCAAAAACAACTGGAGACCCAAGCTTGGGAAACCCTGGTTTAGAGCATACCATACTTTGGGTTCATGCAGGAAACCACTGCCCAGAATGAAAAACAAGTTTTCAAAGTGTATATGGGTGAATGAAGAAAACAGTACTTTAGAACAGTAGGAGGCATTGAGAACCTTATTGTCCTTTGCCGCAATTTGGGATGCAACCCAGAACACACTAACTACTAGGAAGTAAGCAGAATTGAAGACAGCAGGACCTACAGTAAGCATGTAAAGGATGACACTGTTGTGTGTTATAGCTATCATCATAATTCTGCAAGGAGAAAATGGGCTATCATCCAGTTAATGTTAAAACCTTTTAAATCCTATTGATTTTAGTGGGAGAGAAAACATGGGTGTGTGTTTTTACATGTTCCCCATAGAAATAAATTGAACTTAAACACACACACACACACTTGCCTATATTGTGTCAATTGCTCCATTACTGACTAGGAACTGAGAGCAGTTTGATGTACGCAGGAGTACGTGCATTTTGTATTGCAGCTGCTGTCCACAGTTTGTCTGAGTTTCCTAAAGGAAAACTATATTGCGCATGAAAAACAAATAGCCCCCTTGCTGCTTTTCATCCCGCTGGTTTCACCTTCTATCTGACATCCATTACCACTTTTTAAAGAAGCAATAGTGTAAGGGCTGCTAAACTGATACAAAAGCAGAGAATTTTAAATTACCCGTGTAGATGGCAGGTGGCATTTCTGTTGTGACTATACTTTCCCATCATAAACTATGGGGAAACTGCCAAGCTTTGCTAAGTTTTTTCTTCATGTGATAATTTCTCCCTGAAGTGTAAATACAGTGCATGTAAGGAATGTAAGTAGAATATGCATCCAGAAATAACTGGTGAGATCTAATCATCCATCAATTACAGGACAAGCAGGCAAATTTTATAACTCTGACTGCATTCATCTTCATTACAAATGTTCACTGCAGATCACACATTCGTCCACTTTCCAGAGGTACCGTTAGGCAATTTTACACTCAGGACATAGTGGCCCTATAGAAACCCCCTCTTTATGTGTTACTTAGCTCAGTTGGTAGAGCATGAGGCTCTTAATCTCAGGGTTGTGGGTTCAAGCCCCACGTAGGGCAAAATATTCCTGCATTGAACTAGATGACCCTTGCGGTCCCTTCCAGCTCTATTATTCTATTGATCCTGTTCTATAACTTCAAAGTGTATTAAGGGTGGATCTACACACAGCAGGGGGAGGGACGATGCTATAAATAAGTGAGAAATTAAATCATTACAACAAAAGAAAAAACACTATGGAAAATTGCATAGAATTATTATTTTTGCTCTCCAGTGCCATCTTATGTTGCATGTTTATAATGCATTCAAAACACTGTTTTTTGACTAATGTAGTGGAGTCCTTCTGCATTTGGGAGATCTGTTCATTCTGATGAGACGGGCCCTGGATATCTTGCCCTGAATGCACCATTGCCCATTTTACAAACCGGGGAGTGAGACTGATTGCTAATGATAATACAGGCTCTATTGCCAACCACAACCCTTCTGGCTTTAAATATCACTTTCTTCCCACTAGAACACACTGGTGGTGGCCCTTAGGTTTACATACCCATTCGACTGCCATTGACATCTCAACACAGAGAGCTATACTTGCCTATCAGGTTCTTTGGGCCTGGCAGGCAGCTTGTGTTAGTTTCTGTTTTGCCACTGAGCAGCTGCTTGGAGTCACAGGACTCTGTTTACATTCCTGGGATTCCATACTATTGGAAGTCTCACGGGAGAGGAGACGGGATGTGACATCAGTGGTTTCCTATTTCCTTTGTTCCTTTGTTCAGTTGCTCTCTGCTTTCATAGAGAGAGGATGTCTTTTCTGTCTGCGTAGCTTAGAAATAAACTCTTTACAATGTAGCTCAAACCTCTCATCTCTTTCCTGTGCTGGAAACTCTGCTGAAGAATGTGCCTTGGAGCCTTATCAAAGGCTCAGGTCATTAAACACGTCGGGAGGCGATTCTGAAGACTCGGCTAGGAGGAAGATGAGGCTTTATCAGCTTGGCCGAGCGGAGATCCCGACAGCTTGTATGCATGAGGTTGTCTTGATGGAGAGTAGCAATTGGCTCTAGTTACCAAAGTTATTCTACAGAAGCTAACTGGGCTCTTCCAGGATCTTACAGCAAATTAATAACACAGTGAATTTCAATGCTATTTACACCATCCTTGACTGTGTCTGCTAGCATTGGCTCCTGCTCCTGCAAAGGCTTTTCCTACTGCCTGACTAGAGTGGGCAGGTGAAAAAGAAAGCAGAGCTCCTGCATCTTTTGTAGCTGCGTCAATGAACTTCAATGGGTTTATTCTGCATAGAACTTTGTTGACTACAGCCCAGAGTACAGGATTGCTAGCAATCCTAGCTGCAACGGATTTCCCATGCATTTCAACAGAAGCATCCAGAATATTTTTTATTTATATTTATTTAATTTTTTACTAAATTTGTATACCTGCCTTCATCCGATGGTCACAGGGAGGTTCACAATATTAAAATACAAAATATGGCCACAAAATACATAATGAAAGTAAAAGCAAACCAATAACACCGACCCTCCCTCCACACATGTAAAAGGACATAGAATGTGAATAGTCGCTTTTCCTCCCTTCCTCATCACAAGTTTTTCTCCCCTGCCCCCAACTGAGAACAATAGGTCATCAGCAAACCCTTTTTCTCACAGCCCAACATAGCAAAGAAGAAAATGCAGAATTATACTTGGCTTATCTTAGAATAAAAATCTCACAGGTAATCAAAATGTTTCTCCAAAATGTAATCATTACAAATAACCTGTGATATGAGAATTAACCACATGCAGTTAGCTGGAAGTCATCTTTTTTCTTATTCTTTTTTCTTTTTCCCTTTTTCTACTAGGTTTGTTTCTTTTTATCTTCTTTTCTTGAAGTGGAGTTTTTCTTTTTCATAGGAGAATATAGCGCCTATATTCTTGTCTGTAGTTTTTGTTATCATGATTATATTTATGTGTTTGTTTTTTGCTTTGTATTTTTTCTGGTTTGGTATTTTATGTTCGTTTTATTCACTGTCTATTTGTATGATGCATAAGTGTAAATAAAGCATTTTAAAACAGAAAAAATGGAGAAGATGCTGCTGAGTCATGCTGCTCGAAGGAAACCTGTGCCCCCTGTCCTCTGCCTTGTGGTTTTTAAAAAATGAAATAAGAACAAATCCCTCACACGCACACTGCTACAAAATAGTTGGTGAAGTATGCAGGTATGCATGGGTTCCTCAGACCCGAAAATGCAAACAGTCACATTAAGAATGTTTAGTTCTACCTGGTTAGGTAGGACATCCGCAGGCTTGCTTGGCCTCTGGGAGAAAAAAAATGACAAAGGAATCTTATTGATTTCATTATTTGTTTGTAAAAATGGGGGGTGTAATTCATTCATTCATTCCCTGCCCATCTGGCTGGGGAAATCAAGCCAGATGGGTAGCTTCCAACAAAGATTAAAAATACATTAAAACATCAGTCATTAAAAACTTCCCTAAAGAGGGCTGCCTTCAGATGCCTTCTAAACATCAGATAGTTGTTTATTTCTTTGACATCTGATGGAAGGGCGTTCCACAGGGTGGGTGCCACCACCGAGAAGGCCCTCTGCCTGGTTCCCTGTAACTTGGCTTCTCGCAGCGAGGAAACCACCAGAAAGCCCTCGGCGCTGGACGTCAGTGTCTGGTCAGAATGATGGGGGTGGAGACGCTCCTTCAGGTATACTGGACCGAGGCCGCTTAGGGCTTTAAACTTCAGCACCAACACTTTGAAACGTACTAGGAAACGTACTAGGTATAAAAAAAAAAGGGCAGTCCCTCCAGTTACAGGCTTAATTTTGAGTCCATGGCTCCTAGACATGCTAGCTATGTTCTACTTCCACTGTTCAAGGCATCATGGCTCTGAATACAAGCTGCTGGGAAAGTGCTGTTATGCTCAGATCCTACTTGCAGGCTTCCCACAGCTGGCTGGCTGGCCTCTCTAAGAACAGAATGCTGGACTAGATGGACCTTTGACCCGATCCATCTTATATTCTTAGCAATGTGTTCTGCACTGCTTTTGTAGGCATTTGACTCCAGCATTTGAATTGCTTGGAAGTAACATGTGTAAGGTAACAATCAGATGGCACAAGTATTATGTTCAGGTCCAGGAAAGGAAGAAAAGGGTCCTTCCGTGCAATGGCGCCAGCCTTGCAGAACACACTGCCCATTAAATGTTCCAACTTTGTACATTCGCATTTGGTCAGATGCTATTTTTGTAGGGTTTGCAGGCTATCGAAGGATGAGATAACCAGCAGGAGGCATCCGATTTCTTCTTTGACAACTGTTTAATCTGCCCATACTGATTGCATTTTTTATTGTTCTGTGCTTATATACCATATTTTGTAATGTTCAGCTGTTTATAAATGTTCCAAATAAGGTAAGGTCCATGCTATCTGTGCAACCATAATCATGGCTGGAAAATTGTTCCGAATCCTGATGGGCTCTGGGAGCAACTCTTGCTAGAATAGATGCCAATAAGCTCAGCTGTTGCAGCCCAACTGCATGGAACGGAAGCCGCAACAAGACACAGTGAGATATAAATGGTGCATGAAGATGCTTTCTTTCCAGTAGACCTGAAATGTGATGCTTCTAAAATCTGGCGGTATTATTCATTTTTGCTGTTTGTTTGTTTGTTTGTAAAATCAGTTGTCACATTGGGGAGATGCATGAGAAGATGGCAGAAGAGGAAGTCCTACTGAGCAATCAGAAGTCCTTATACTTCCAGGATGACTTCATTGGATACAATCCTATGCCAGGCTAAGTCATTTATCCTGGGTACATTTTGTAGCCTTGCAGTCTTTGAGTGCATAATACATATTTCCACTGGCCTGGGAGGAGAACCATGGTATCTTCCCACTCATTGACAGAAATACACAATATAATGTTCTGCCATAGGAGCAATAGCGACCATCGCCTCTCCACGTGCTTTACTAAGGCTAAATTCATGCTATTTCCTCTTATTAAAACCCCACAGGGGCTACATTTCTCAAAGTTCCAAATAGCTACAGAGGAGGAGATTGATTTTAGTTGAACAGTCAAGTGACCTTTACATTAATCACTATAGTTACGCCTTCCATCTCCCCCCTCCCTCCTTTCCTTTTAAGACACCTTTAACCTGCACCTTGCAAGGCTTGTTTGAATTTAAAAGCAAGACCTTGTTACACACTGCAGTTGGCATAATATTGTCAAGATTTGGAGCAGTTATTTCTAGCTTGTAAAAATGTGCTTTTGAAACTTGCATTTATTTCAGACTCGTGACAGTTCTTTGCAGACTGGAGAATCAAATGGAAACACCATCTGAGCAACTGCCTCATCAGTTGATTTTGTAAGATGCTACCAATTGGCTGCATGTAATTCACTTCTCCTAGATATCCCTCACTGCCAATTTAGTTGTGGTGTTTTTAACAATAGCCTTACATCCGAGCATAGATCAAACATCTATTGACAAAAAGCATGGTCCAGTTTTGATGGCAAGGTCCATCCCAGGCAGCTCCAATAATATAGGATGGCCCCATGGGGGAAGGGGCCAAGAACACTTAGGAAGAAGAACCATGTAAACAGGGTCATGAAAGATCAGATTGGAGAAGAGACATTTGTGCGGTCCTTCTCATGACCTCCTACTCCTTTCTCGTGGTTCCTACATTCATAAATTTCCAAAGCAACATAGGTATCAGGAGTTCAGTTCCTGGTTTGATAACACAGTGAGCATAGTTCAATAAAGGATGATTTATTGTCAAAATGAAGAGATAACTCCGGATGGCTCTAACACAGCCGTAACCTTCATTTATCATGATGACCCTTCTGAAGTCTGCTTCCGGCAAGACCAGAAGCAACTGAACTTTTCCCTCTGATGTCTTTTGCCCTGCCTCCTATCCTGTAGCCCTCCCATTCGCCAAGACCTGGGACTAAGATGGTCAGCTCCCACCTCTTCCTCATTCTCTAAGGGACTGTCTCTTCACTCTTTCCTGCCTGATGAACTGCTTCCTTCTCTATTCCTGGTATTTTGCATTTCTTGAGAGTGTTGGCAGGGCTAAGGCTCAC